GATTTGTTAAAAATGGTACTTGGTAGGTCTTCTGAATAGATCTGCATTTTAATAACTGAGAAAATGAGAACAGATTTGAAGATTGTTCTAGCTATTTCAAAATGTCTTTGTGGGATAGCAATGCAGTTTCCTAAATTAGTACATGTTCATAGTCCTGAAATCTAATAGAAATTACATGCCAGACTGTAAGGAAATTTAATTTATTCAGTTTTTTTCTTTGCTTTTTCTAAAGTTACCATTAATGCAAAAAAAGTTAAATGTGTTTGATTTTGGACAGAGACTTAGATTCTTTCAACCTAGTAAGTAGCTCTAGTAAAAATAGCAAAGAAGGGAACACAGGATCAGTGGTTCCTTTTAAGAAGGCCATGGTTTAAAAAAAAAAAAAATCTCCCTTGCAAGATCATAGTTATATTAATTCCTAAGAATCTGCAGAATTTAAAAGATAAAACTCTTCATCTTTTCACCAAAACACTCCAGACACCTACCTTAAATAACAGTAGGCTTGTTTTAAACTTTCTGGCTTTACCATTGTAAGCTGTATGCTCTGGGAATAATATGAAAAAGTAGAAGCATACATACAAGAAGGACAGTTCATTAGTTTGCAGGGGCAAATCTATGAAGGAGACCGGAATCCCTTGGGCTGGCTGCTCAACATATTCTCTCTCCTATAGGAAAGTCACACTGTCCCAACAGAGCAAGAGATGCTGAAGGCTGACACCTACACCATGGTGCTGTGAATGCCTGAAGAGCCTATAAACAAGGACACGTGAACACTCACACGGAGCTAGCAGTCTTGGGCACACGTGGACCTACGGCTCTTTCACCTCTAGCCACCTTCCTTAAGCTGATTTTGCATCAGCTGCCACATTTCCCAGGACTTCCTCCCACTCTGAATGCATGGCATGGTGCAATCCTGCCTGGAGAGATGGGAATGTGGATTCTGGCTCTGTCATGGGCTAAGATATGCTGGACCAGTGACTTAACTTCTCTGTGTTTCAGTGTTCTCCTCTGTAAAAGACAAATACAGCTACCTCATAAATATCTCATTTGATTGAATTAAGTGAAATAATGCTGTTAGGTGTCTGATTCCTGGTAAGTGCTCAATAAATAGCAACTTATCATCTCTTAGAACTCATCTAAAGAAATAACGCAGTATCTGAGGGAAAAATGGTCTGAAAGATCATTTTGACAAAATTTATCAGCAACACTCTTGTAATCTCAAAGTTAGTTTTAGAAGGACTGCTACACTCTCATTATATCTTGTCCTCTACTATGGCTTGACTATGGCTTGCTTAAGGCTGCATCTGTATGATTTCCTGTGAAACTTGGCCACTCTGTATTTTCCTCTTCTTGTCTAGCAGCAGGCTGTACACCTAGGAAGCTAAGAGTTACATGTGCGGATTACCAATTCTGACCTTGAGCTGGCTTCAGGATACCACTTGCTGAAGAAACCCTGCTATATAAGTACCATCAAGGATCATCATATCATCTTCAGTAGCACTTGCTGTTTGCTTAAGGACTTCAGGGAGTCTATGACCCTGCCATCTCTACAAAGATGTCCAGTGTACTAGCTCCACACAACTCAACCTGCTGCTCAGTAGTCACCTATGTCTGTCACTATTCTTTGGTCAAACGAGTGCCTGTAGTCCTTGGTTCCTTCTTCTTTCTGCCACATTTATCTTCTAAGGTATGGTGATGGATACCTGGAACCCTAATACTCTGGAACACTGAGGTAGGAGTTGTGCAAGTCCAAGCTTAGCTCAAGCAACCTAGCAAGGCTCCGTCTCAAAATTTTTAAAAACACAATTTTTTTTTTTTTAAAAGGGCAGGGGATGTCACTCAGTGTGAAGGTCTTGAGTTCAATCCACATTATGGGGGTGATGAAGATGTCCTGGAATTAGTGGTGATAGCTATATAATTATATGTATATACTAAAACCCAGTAAGCTGTACACTTTACAGGGAGTGTATTTTGTGTTATGTGAATTATACCTCAATTTTAGAAAAGAGACAGATATTTGAACTGGATCAAATAAGGTAGTGATGAGCAGACAATAGTAAGTAGGAAGATAATTCTAGGCAGAAAGAACAGAATGAGGAAAGGCATGGAAGCCACAAAAAAGGAATACACATTCAGGGAAGTGAAAATGGTTGATGTGTAGGTTACATACTTAGCAGAGGTAAAGATTGAGCTAGTAGGTAGTGAAAGGGCAAATGATGAAAACCCTGCATGCCAACTAAGGAGGAGATCATGGGATACTTTGGTTTTCTCCTAGGAGAAAGACATGACCACGGTGCTCAATTCAGTCCGTCTTGTCAGGGAAGCCTCCTTCCATCCATTCAGGATTGTTCAACTACTCTATTCCACTTTGGCAATCCCAATTCCCATTTTGCACACCATTTATAAAACATCTATTTATACCACTGGTTATCCTGAGTTTTTTCCCCAAAAGAATATAAACTTCTTGAGGGCAGCCTTGTTTCTAATCTTGACTATGTCCGTCCCAGTAAGACATTTATTAAGGTTGGCAATTTTGACATATTTCTGAGCTTTTCAAACATTGTCACCCCTTTGGAATGTTTTTTATAATCAAAATCATTCAAAATTTTGCCCTCTTCTCTTCAAATGCCACTTGCTTACAAAGCCTTCTCTTATCCTACTAGATGCAAACTCTCCCCTTTTAAAATTTGTATTTTCCTTATGATACTGATTTCTTAGACCTTCTATTTCAGTTAGGGGAGCATTCCTCTCACCTCACATATCTCTTTCCCCTCATTTATAGGAATCTAAGCACCTTAGGATAATGTCTATGCCTTTCCTGGACTTACAGCTCCCAGTACTGTGCTGAGAATGAGTGTGAGTTGAACTGATGGAATTAGAGACAAAAATAATCACCATCACACAAGTTTTTTAATACTAGAAAAAACTACATGAAGCAGGATGCAGGCACAAATAATAGAGGGTGTGTTTTGAATCAATCTGTGACCACTTGGCATGTTTATTTTCATCACATGGATTTCATTTTGCTAGAACGGCAGAAGACTCAGACAAAAAGTAATGGCCTTGCAGCTGCTGTGTTCCCAAGTCTGTGGTTTTCCTATGATATAAACACAACATTCTGGAGGTATGGTCTTTGTTAATCTTTTCTGGTGTGGGTCTGGGGGAGAAATGGATGGTGGAGTATGAGGGGCACTAGAGGGAAATCCACCTAATGAACTGACAGTTCATATAAGCAACACCTGGAGTGTTAAACCTCCTCCAAGTGTTATTTTACTGAAAGAAAATAACTTCCAATCTTCTCTTGGTCAATGTGAAAATTCTTTCACCAGCTGCATTCCAGGCTGTAGTGTGTGGCAGCTCAGGAGCCATGACAGCTGGAACAGATCACATTCAGGATATAGTGAATGCTCACCAGCAATAAGGGGATAACCAGAACCCACAAAATGAATCCTCACAGCCATGTTCCTTTAAGAAAATGGATTAGCCTCAATCTGGCTGTTCAGAGTATCTGCTTGTAAACACTGAAAATACTTATCAGCATCTGATTGGTGAGAAGATCACCTTTTTGAGTAGACTTTGTGACAATAGCTATTTCACAACTTTCCATTTTACTCATTAAAACCCCAAAGCAAATGTTTTGGATTTAGTTCTATTTTGTTATTTATAATCTACTTCAGACTAGATGTCTGTTTACAGAATCTGTGACATGATCACTCCTCCTGACAAAAAGGAAAGAACTAACACTTACTGAGCATTTACTATGCAGCTGGTACCAGACCAGGCACTTTCCTCATGTTCCACCTCACAACTCTGGCAGGCAGACAGCCACACTTCACACATAGGGGAGGTAATAGGCCCAGACAGGTTAAGTCTTTCCTCAGCACCTTCCAAGGAAAAACTGGAAGAGTTGGGTCTGTTTAACTCCAAAGTCACGATTCTTTCCATTGTTTTCTGCACAAATTCCTTCTCTAGAATTTTCAAAAATGCTGTAAGAGCCTGTGACTCTAGAGCAGGCTCAGAAAATAAATATTTTGGTTTTGTGGCCTATATAATTTCTGTCATAATTACTCAATTCTATTGTTGCAGCACAAAAGCAGCCATAGATAGTAATATAAACAAACCTGGTTGTGTTCCAATAAATATTTATTTCAAAAAAAGGTAGTGGGCCAGATTTAGCCCAATCAGATTTTTCTGTTTGTCAATCCTTCATGTCCTACAAGGTTGTAAAGTGCACAGCTTCATGTTACAGTATTTGGGCTTAAAAAGTCAATAAAGAATTGTCTATTTTCAACCTGATTAACAGATATGAGAGTCTTCTATATTCAAGATACATGAGAGGAAGGGTAGTGTACAGGGTCCACACATTGTTTGGGGGAAAAAAAGGCACAGAAAGACAAAAGCCAAAAATAGCAAGATGGCATAGCACATGGTAAGTGTCAAAGGAGGGAATTTAAGACCAAAGGGCTGACTGAAGGAGTATGGGGACCTTAAGAAACCCGAGTGCATAAGTTGATGAAATAATTTTGTATTGGCACCAAAGCTCAGAAAGAGTTGTAAAATGAAGAATGAGTCAGAAGTCACTGCTTTAAAAACTAATGAAAGTACCCATTCTAATGGGCTAGGGATTTAGCTCAGTGGTGCTGCCTGTTGCCAGCCTCGCAAACACAAGGACCTGAGTTCGATCCCTGGTGCTCCCCCAAAAAACCCATTCTGGTTTTAACCACATTATGGTTTTAGTAAGTCAGATGCTAATCAAAGACAACATCTCCTTTAGATTCACCAAAAAAATGTATTCCCACTCTTATTCTCAAAGGACAAGCAACTATGTAAGGTGAAAGACAAGTGGTGCACTTTGAGGGACTCCATGAGGCCTTTCCATTCTCCTTTCACCTGACACTTTAAGCACTCAAGAGTCCAAAAGAAGCTACCAGCAAGGTCCAAGAGAAACCATTTCAGTCACTCTTGGAAGTCTAGGGAGAACCCAGTTCCTAAAACCCTACCTTGCTCATGGCAGTCAGTGCAGGATCACAGGCTGCATCTAGGTCTTGAACCAACAACTGAATGCTGCTGGAGATGACACTGCAAGTCAAACAAACTATTGTGGTCACAGCTTAACAAAATCACCATTTAAATGACTGACTCAGATCCTTCTATCAGTCACCTGTGTAAAATTAAGATACATTATTTCATCACAAAAGCTTGAGCTTGAATTAATGACAATGAAGGAACAGTTGGCTCTTTCTTCGTGTCTCCACCCAGTCAGGACCTCAGCTTTCAGGCCTAGTTTGAGAGTCCTTCTTCAAGTTTTCCTCCAAAAGTACCTCTTTTATACAATTGTTTTAAATCAGAACAACAACAACAAGGAAACAACAACAAAGAGTTATGAGGAAGAAATGAACTGAGAATTTAAAGTTTTCTTCAATATATGGCTGATGAGAGCTGAAATCAGACCCATCTCTATCCTATTTAATGGCAGTGGACTAGGAACTGAAAACAACAGAAATACTGCAAGGTCATACCAGGGAGAGAAATATTCCAAAAAGGCTTTATTGTTTTACAGAATCTAGTCTCAGCCCCCTCTGTCTGTCTGTCTGTCTGTGCGTCTGTCTGTCTGCCTCTCTTACACACACACATACACAGAGGCATGCACACACTTTTATACTTTTGATGGCTAAAATCTTGCCAGTTACATTTTCTGTTCTAAAACACAGGAGGTGGCCTGGCCCTCTGTGGGTTTAGGTGAGGGCAGATGGGAGGCCCTGGAACCAGACTTTCCTGCAGGAATGGCCAAGGAATGATTTCTTGTTTTTGTTATTCCAGATAGTGTCACCACAAAGATATCTTCCCCACACCTATAAACTAAGAGAATGTATCTGAGGAGGCAGAACAGGAGGCAGCTGCTAATTCTAATGCTTGTTCTTAGTGGCTAGTGGAGAATAATACCAGTCCAAAAGAAGGCCCGGGAAAGCCCTTAGGTTTTGTAGTGACTAAAGCCAGCAGCCTGACACATGCCACCCCATGAGGGAGAAAAGACAAGCTCCCCTGTGTAGACATGTGCAAGATACATACGTGCTGAATGTGTCCATTTCTCCTGTGAGATTGATTCGTTCTGTGAGACTTACATCAACTTTTTCCTTGAGTTTTTCTTCTAGCTGTTTAAAAAAGAGACAAACAGAAACATTTTAGTAATTATCCAAAGGATTAACACAGTAATGATAGGTACAACTCTAGATACTTTTCATAGGACTTATTCATTCTATTATGACTGCTATCATTTTACAGATGAGAAATTGGAATGACTTATCCAAGATAGTAGGTGGTAGGGCCAGAAATAAACCTCCTCAGAAGCCATACCCTTTAGCTCTCTGCTGTATCTGTTTTTCATAATAACCTAATATCTCATACTATTGATTTTGAAAAGACTCCAATTTTACAATATTCCCTGTACCATAAACTGCAGACTTGTCCACCAACACTGGAAACCTCTGGTGGTGAGTGGCAGTAAAATCAGTTAAAATATTCACTGAATATTGCTATGGGCCAATCACTTTGCTAAAGTTTTGAGATGTGTAGTAAACCAAAGAAAAAATCCCTATCGTCATTGTTAGCCTGTGACGTGGCAAAGAAACATTAAAAAATACCTAGCGCAATGATGGCAAACCTTTCAGAGACTGAGTGGCCAAACCACAATCCAAAACCCACTTATTTAATGCCAGTGCCAACACTGCAATTGAATACTGGTTTTAGGTTAGAAAAAACAACTGTTCTCTGATGCTCAGCTGCTGGGTTGACTTGGCTTGCATGCCAACAGAGAGGGCTCTGTGTGACCGCTGCAGCACGCGTGCCACAAGTTTGTCGCCACTGACCTAGAGTCTCAAAGAAAAATACAACTGTGTGCAGTAATTGTAAATATCTGAAAACATCCCTGGTTTTGATTAATCTAATCTAGCACTCCTAAACCTAAGAGTTTTAAATTCTGAAATGCTTTTAGAGATGTGTAAATTAGTATAATCTTTTTGGAAGGCATTTTATTTTAAAAGCAAAACTTTAAATAAACCTCATTTCACAACTAGAAATGAATTTCAATGAAATGAGAATAATGTACAGAGATATGCAAGTATTTTTTGTAACATTTGTTAATTCAACCAATGTTTACCGAAAGCCTATTTAGTGTCAGGCTGTTTAAAAGAGTAAGGGGATTATTTAGGCAACAGAACAGGTAAGATCCTGTTCTCAGAAAGTTCACATTCTAGTGTTGCTTTATATTATTGAAACTCTGGAAACAATCTACATGTACATCTACAAGACTGATAAATTATGGCACAGGCTTATCAATGCTTAATATCTTCAATGGCCTTTCCACATACACTGAAAATAAAATTCAAATTTCTACACATGCCTTGGCCTGTCGAGCTCTCTGGCCCTGTCTTGCTACTTTCCACCTTATGTGTGAGGCTTCAGGGATACTGGCCTCTGAAACTTTAGGGACGTAGTAGGGTCCTTCTCCCTAAGGATCCTCACAGTCCACACTTCTACTTCCTCTCCCTGAAATGCTCCTTGCTCACCCCTACTCTTTGGCTCCACTGATTCACTGTGCTGCCACTTCTAACTCTCCAAGCCCCTCATTCAGTGTCTTCTCACCACGCGTCGCTACTTTAACAGCACCTCCTCAGAAAGGCCCTCCTTCGACATTCTCCTCCACAGGCAACTTCCTTACTCCAGTGCTGCAGCATTTGTTTCCTTCCTGACTCTTACCACGAAACAGAAGTTAAATCTTGGCTCACTTGTTATTATCTGCCTCTCCCATTAGTTCTAAGTTTCCTGACAGAAATAAGCTTGCTTATTATGTTCACCATTGTTAATGAACACCAGCTATAGTGTCCTGTACATAATAAGTGCTTAATAAAGATCTGTGGAAGGTGTTAAAAAGTTGAGGTAATAGTGACATGGAAAGATGTCTGTGATTTAGTTTTTTTAAAAAGTTGTTATAGAATAACATGTAGAGTACGGGTCCATTTTTATTTAAAAAGATACAACAAGCCGGGCGTGGTGGCACAGGCCTGAAATCCCAGCACTCGGGAGGCTGAGGCAGGAGGATTGCTGTGAGTTCGAGACCAGCCTGGGTTACATAGTGAGTTCCAGGTCAGTCTCGACTACATAGTGAGACCCTGTCTCAAAAAACAAACAAATGGACAAACAAAAAGATACAGAAAAATGTTTAGGAGAATAATATATATTATTTAAATAGATAACAGTGGTTGTTCTGAGGGATGAGATTATGGGAAAATTTCATCATATATATTGCTATAAATCTGAAACATTTTAGGAGTGTATATTTCTTTAAATATCTATTTAACTGGGAAAATTCCAAATATTTAAAAAAATAAAGAACAGCACAGTCAACATAGCAAGTGCCTTTCAGCCAGCATCACCAGTTGTTATTACATGACCAGCCTTGTTTCATTTACACTCTCACCCATTTCCCAAGCTCTTGAATTATTTTGAAGCAAATCCCAGACATTCTATCATTCCATCTGTAAATATTTCAATATATAGCTCTAAAAGATAAAGGCTCATACCGACAAAATTAATAATTCCTTTAATATCAACACCACATAATATAGTTAGCGTTCACATTTCCCTCATTGTCATACAATTTTATAACAGTTTGAATCAGGACCCAAATAAGGACCATATGTGGCAACGGACTAATATGTCTCTTGTCTCATTTTTAAAAATGAAATATAATCAACTTATAAAAATGCACATATCTGTAGTGTCTCAGTTGGATAAGTTTTGACAATCACATGCATCTCTGTAATAACCAATAACAGGATACAGAATATACTCCCAGAAAGTGCGCTCATGCTTCTTTTCCTCTTTCTGGTCATCCCCCTGGCGTGTATTATCTGATTTCTATTAGCACAGATTACTTTTGCCCATGTTTGAATACATTTAAATAAATAAGACCATATACTATACATTATTTCATCTAACATGTTTTTGAGATTCATCCACGTTATTAGGTATATCAGCAGTTCACTCATTTTACAGTCAATGAATAGTCCATTATATGGCTATGCCATGATTTATTTATCCATTCTCCTTCAGGGACACTGGATTGCTTACTGTTTTGAGCTACTACAAATAGGGTAACTATAAACATCTTTATATGTATCTTTAGATGTATATGTATCTTTATATCTTTAGATGTATGCATCTTTTTGTGGTTATACTGTATTTTCATTTATCTTGGGTAAACACCTGGAAATGAAATTGCTGGGTCATAATATTTTATTTATTTATTTATTTATTTTTGGTACCAGGGATAGAACTCGGGTCCTTGCGCTTGCAAGGCAGGCCACTGAACCACTGAGCTAAATCCCTGGCCTGGGTCATAATATTTTATAGTAATTGCCAAACAGCTTCTCAAAATGGTTATACTATTTTACATATTAACATATGTACACTCAAGCTTTTCCATATATTTGCCCATATCTGATGCTGCCAGTCTTACTTTTTAGATGTTCTGCTAGCTATGTCCCAGTTTTAATTTGCATTCTCCTAATAACTCATAATGTCAAGCACCACTTCATTTACTTATTGAGCTTTTTTTTGTGGTGGTGGTGGGGCATACTGGGGATTAAACCCAAGGCCTTTGCACTGAACTAACATCCCCAGCCCTCAGCCTCTCAGAGTGCTGAGATTAAGGACATACACACTACATCTAGCTAGACAGCTGTATATATCTCCTTTTGTGAAAAATCTGTTCAAGTTTTTTGCTCATTTTAAATTGGGTTATTTGCCTTTTATTGATGATTATCAAGACTTTTTGATGTACACTGGGTATAGTCTCTTATCACATATACTTCAAATATTTTCCTCAGTCTATGGCTTATCTATTAATGAAATCTTTTGATGAGCAGAAAATTACATTTTGATGAATACCGATTTATCCATTTTTTTCTCATTTGGTCATTAGTAGTTTTTCATATCCTGACCAAAGAATCTTTGCTTACTCAGGGTTGTAAAGATCTTTTCCTGTTTTTCTTCCAGAAGCTTTATAGTACTTGGCTTTTATATTTAAGTCTCTGATTCATCCTGAATTGATTTTTTTTTTTTTTTTTTGGCATCAGGGATTGAACTTGGAACCTTGTGCTTGTGAGTCAGGCAGTGGTTGAATTGATTTTTGTATATGGTATGAGACACGGGTTAAGGTTGTTTTCCATATTTAAAAATAACTGGATAAAGAAGATGTGTTTTTTTTTATAAAATGGAATACTACTCAGTCATAAAGAATGAGAAATTAGAGTCATTCATAGGAAAATGGATGCATATTGAGGATATACTCTTAAGTGAAATTAATAAGTCATACATGTAAATACTGAATAGTTTCTTTGGTGTGAAAAACTGTAATTGTACATAAGATCCTAATAGTATAACTGACAATATGAAATAGGAAGAAAAGGGCTAAAGGTGTAGGGGAAGTGGGAAGGGTAAAAAAAGGAAATAAGGGAAAAGAAAAATATATGAGAACATTAAAAAATGGAAATAAAGTATTTATAAATAGGGAAGAGAGGAGGGGGTGAAGGGAGGGCAGGGGTAAAGGGAAAAACGAGAACCAAGACCTGTCATGTAAAGGTACAAGATCCCAATGATGACTGTAACTGTACTGTATACTTAAAATGTACCAATAAACTCAACGAGGAAAAAAACAACAACTATTACAGACATGATTTTTACAAAAGTTTTCCTTTCTCTATTTAATTTCTTAGCACTTTTGTGCTAAAATCAACTAACCATATAACATGTACCCAGGTCTCTGGTAATCTTAAAATCAAGTAATACATCATCCATTTTTTTCTTCTTTTTCAAGATTGTGTTTCTTTGTAAATTTTTCTTCTCTACTTCTTCAAAATAGCCTGCTAGAATTTTGATAGGGGACTGTGATAAATCTATATATCATTTTACAGAGAATGGATGTTTTAACAACAAAGACTTGCAATCCATGAACAAATCTTTTAATTTATTCAAGACCTTAATTTCACTCAGCAACATTTGTAGTTTTTAAGGTAGAGGTCTTACATGTTTTCAACAGGTTTACTTCTAAGTAACTGATGTTTTAAACTGGTATTGTGATGCTCAATGCCTAGATCCATTATTCCACTAGGAGGAATAGAGAACGGCATTTTCATTCATTCTTTACTTTTTTTATTAACTAAAATTCTGCTGTAAAGAGTTCTAACTATCAACTGTTTGGTTATCCCAAAGTACTTGTCATTTAGGAAAGGCAGGACAAAAATTTTCTCTTTATCATTACTCAACTCATACTAGTGGTTCCTTATCATCCTCAAAGGCAAAAAACAAATTTTTATTTAAAAAAATTTTTTTTGGTACTGGGGATTGAAATTGGGTCCTTGTGCTTGCAAAGCAAGCAGCAGCACCACTGAACTAAATCCCCGGCCCCAGAAACAAATTTTTAAAAAATCATTATAACCAATAATCATTATATCCAATTATCAGGGAAACTGCTATCAGAAAAATTGTATATCATTATTTCCAATTATCTGCCCCTTAATGGAATATCATATAGCCACAAACAATGATAACAATAACAGGAGAAATGCTAAGGCTATGACACTAACAAAAAGTAAAATGATATAAAAGTGAGTTAAGATTATAACATACAAAACTATGTTTATGAAAAATGATTGCAAAAAATAAGTTGTTAATATGATTATATGAGGGTGATGGGATTAAGATTAATCATATTTATTATTTTTGTACTTGGTTATACTTAACTTAGCATACTGTATTTATATGCATGTATGTCTTTCTTTCCTGCACACATACCAAATACTTAAATAGTGATTTTTCACTGAAGAACTCTGGGACTCCTGCCTAGGAGGTCCTCTCAGATGTTAATGTCCTGTCCAGAGAATGCATGAGGATAAATGGATTGCTGTCTGTAGTTCCAAGGCCAAGCTTTTACAGGTCATTCTCTATTTAAATCAATGCAACTATATCTAACTATGGAGTCTTTGTGGGAACACATCCTATTTGGTCAGGCCTTGGCTTGCAGGAGCTCCAAGCTGTAAGGTCTGAACTATCATTTATGACTATCTAGACATGTGTAAATAATAAACAAAAAGAGGTAAAGAAGCAAAATCTTCTCAGATTATTTCCTTTTTCTTAGCCTTAGGTGATCACAGACCAAATCAGAAAAAGGACTTCTAATCCCATGTCCAGAGCTGAATGAAAAGTTTTCCTTCTGCTAAATCAGTTTGTAGAACTTCTGCTATCTGGGGTCTCCAGAAAAGGGACACCGCTTCCTGCTTCATAGTTCCTGAAGGTCGGCATCCCTAACAATGGTTATTTGTTTCAGCATACTGAGAATGCTGTGTAAATTTTAAGAGTCACATAAAAGTCCAAAGGATTTTGCTTAGCTTAGTAACACTTCTGAGAATGGAATAACTGGTCATGACTCATTACCACTGGCAGCTGGGTCCTAGCACTAAGTTTATTACCGTTTTTCTCATGTGGGAGGTAAGGATACTGACCTACTTTTAAGAGGCCATGCCCGCTGAATGGCTTTCACAACTCTGAGGAGAAAACTAGTCAGTCTCCTTTTAACAAAGCTCTTCTGTAACATGGCTGCCTGGCTAGTGTTCTGGCTGGACAGTGAGTTTTCCCTTGTGGGAGGCCCATTAATCTGGCTAAGGCTGCACATGGCTTTGTTGGGCTCATACTCTCCTTCCAAGCTATGTGGCCCAGAGAGTTCAGGGAAAGGAGGTGGTATATGCAGCCAGGATGGCTCACCTGCTGGGTAGTGGCCAGACAGTACTCTGCTGTGCTCAGGATGCTGCAGATGAGGCTGAGCTCCTCAAGAGTGAACTTGGCCACTTCGGAGCCCTCCTTTTCCTTGAGGAGGCTGCTGATGGTCAACCCTCCACTGCTGGTGGTGGTTCTAAAGAAAAGGAACAAAAACTAGCCAAGCCGCAACTTCTAATTTGCTTCCTGAGCCAGAAACTGCATTTTGTAAGACAAAGTAAAAAAGGAAAGGAAAGACTGGCCATGGCCCAAAGATATCCACATACAATGAGTCCTTTTCCTCCTGACCTCACCTTGATTGTCATCTGTTTAGATTCTTTCAGCAAAGGAGTAAGAAGAGACAACCCCAAGAATAATCAAGCTTATTAACTACAAGGACCAGCTTTAGCTTGGAATTTCTTGCTAGGCACAACTCACTTAGATCAACAGTAGAAAAAAAGTTGGTTCTCCAATCCCTGCTGAGTACATCATTTCTTTTGGGCTGGGATACTGACTAATACACATACGAACATGCTCACAGGATAATGTTAAGTGAAAGCAGCAGGGTATAAAACAATCAGTAGTAGAGGCCCAATTGTGTTCAACAAACAAAAGCATGCACACCACACATATTATATGTGTGTATGTATATGTGTATATAAATAAACAAGTCAGGAAAAAAATAAAAATTGTAAAATAATTTTCATCATAATCAAAGAAGTTCTCATCAGTAAACCATACACAACACTTCAAATCTCCTGTACAGCATGGGCTGTATTCTCTTTTCTCTGATTAATATAAAATTCCCATACATGACACACTTAGTGACAATGCCAAAAACGAATTCTAAAATTGTTAATGAGGATGATTTGGGAATTTTTTGTAAATACTGAATTCAGAAGTGTTTTATTAGGTCATTATTCTATTACAGTTGAAACTGCTATAAAACCAAAACATCTCTAAAATGAATATCTGCTTATTTTAAGTAATATACTTTAAGTATTATATAATAATCTTCCATGTCTCAGAACACAGTGAAATCACTGTAATTGTGGGCTTTGCTATACACCCTCCTCCCTGCAAATCTTATCATATCTTTAAAAAGATATGAGATGCAGATACCATAAAAGACATTGGAACCTAATCAGAGGGAAAATCAGACTCATGCTTCCTATATACCTCTACAGGGAAAATCAGACTCATGCCTCCTATATACCTCTACAGGTTATAATCGCACTGAATAAGGATTGAATGAAATCACCTACACTATTTAATAGTTATTTCCATCACCTTGTATTTTGCTAAGTAGCTAATGTTGAATCCATGTAAGTTACATACATACATATACTGTATAATAGGACTGACTCCCCAAAGTTCACTGTGGTAGGATGTGACCTACACTGGCAGCCAGGGTGAGCATCTCTGCTAACTGGCTGTGGAATGTCATTAGATAGGAAATAGTGTCAGACCTTGGGAACTTAAAAGAATGTTTTCCTCCTTGATACTCTTGGCAGTTCAGTAAACAACTTCAGAGTTGATTTCTTTAAAGATTTCCATATTTAGGAATATTTAGACTCTCACTTCACCATTCAAAAAGTGAAGAATGGGACTCACTTGGGCAGGTTGCCAGAGAGGATTTTCCAGGCATATTCTCGGAGGTACTTCTGGAAAATGGTGGTCAGGGCAATCATTGGCTCCCCGGTGCTGAGTTGTGAGCACTGCACCATGCACTTCTTGTAATAGACAAAGAGGTCAGCACAGCTGGGGAGCACAGTGCCCCCTTCATCAGTGTTGGGCTTTGGTGGCCCCTGGGTTTTGAAATCAGCCACAAACCGATCTATCAGCTCTCCAAGGTTTCTAGAAGAAAGAAAATCTAAAATGTTATTTTACTTCAAGAATTACAAAGCAAGGGCCGGGGAATTAGCTCAGTGGTTCTGCCGCCCGCCTCACCAAGTGCAAGGACCCGAGTTTGATCCCCGGTACCCGCCCCCCAAAAAAGAAAGAATTATAAAGCAAACTTGCCTATTTGCAATGTACATAAGTTGCTGCCATGATTAATCATTCCTGATGCTGTTTAAACTTAATATTGAGTCAATTTTTATCAATACCATTCACCACTACCACCATCCCTACCATAACAGCAGAGATGAAGGTTAGCATTTGTATGCTGCTTTGTATTTTTTTTTTTTTTGCTGCTTCGTATTTTTAAAACATTTTTATTTATTAAGTTTATTCATACGTTTTAGGTATATAATATGATGACATTCATCATTGGGAATTTGTACCTTTATATAATATATCTTGGTTCTTATTTTTTCCCTGCCCTCCCTTCAACCCCTCTACCTCCCCAAAGACTGTTTCTGTTTATTCCTTTTTTCATATTTATTTCTTTCCCCAACCCTTCGCACTTCCCCTTCAGACCTTTTTTCCCTATTTCATATTATTTATTATACTTTTTTTTTTGGTACTGGGGATCGAACTGGGCTCTTGAACTTGTGAGGCAGGTAGCAGAACCAATGAGGAAAATCCTGGGCCCTATGTATTATACATTTTGATCCTTATTTACACTTTCAGTTTTTCACACCAGAGAAACTATTCAGTATTTAAATATGTGTCCTATTTATGTCACTTAAGAACATGGCTTCAATGTGGCAAATGTGCCATTTGCTGCTTCGTATTTTCAAGACACTTTATTATCACATTTGACCCTACGATTTTGTAAGGAAGATGGAGAATTTTTGGCCTTTCTAGAAGATGAGAAAATTGAAACTTAGAAAGTTTGTAACAAAACTTTGAGGCAGAGCTGAGTCTAGAGTCTACCATTAAAGTTAAATCCACTGTCCTACTACTAGTTATTACTATTTACCAAAAATGAAAACCCTAAACAATACTAACAGTGATTATTTTCCAAACATGTATACAGTAGTAGGTGTCATGGTGGTGCTTTTATAAGCATCATCTCACTGAACTTCAGTTACTCTTCACAATAACCTTACAAAGCGGGGACTGTTCTATCCTTTTCAAGAAGTTAGGTAAGTACCTTGTCCAAAGTCATACAACAAGAAAGTGGGGAAGTCAAGACCTAAAATCAAGTATCCTGGCTCCAACCCTCATGGATTTAACCAGTTCACTTCATAAAAATGTTTGTGATGTCAGCAAAGATTGTGACATCAAGAACCTAAATGTATCCAATGAATAGAGAAACTGTCTTTTTAAAAAATCAAACAACCAAGCAAAAGCCCCCCAAAACTAACACTTTCTTCTCTTCAATGCAAATTGCAGTTTTCATCTTAGAACTTCCAGAATTGAAGATATAACTAAATTTTAGGAAGAGCAGGTAGGAGCAGCTCTGGGTCTGTCTCAAATTATGTAGGTGATACCACTGTGATCTGTCTCCCATTTCCCATTCAAACACCCCTAAATTTGCTGTCACTACTCTAAGTCTTCACAAGCCAGAGTCCAGTAGGGTCATATGCACTGTCCTTTGCACAATCATACAATGAGAGTCCCCCTCTCCTGACAAGCAGCACCTCTTCAGGTGCTGTCTAAGGCTACAAGAATCCAGCTGTGCTTTAAAAATATAGTTATAGGGCTGGGGATTTAGCTCAGTGGTTCCATTGCCTGCTTCACAAGTGCAAGGTCCCGAGTTTGATTCCCAGTACAAAAAAAAAACCCAAACATATATATAGTTATAGAGCATATAATAGGTTATATAGTTATAGACCATATAATAGGAAGAAAAGAGAAGAACTACACATAACATCAACTAGCAGGAATAGGAAAAAAACGACATTTTATTCAAGTGCTTTTCTTATTCAAAACTTACTATATCCAGATGTAACCACCATGCCCTCAAAAGGCTTCAGGCCTGGGCTAGGTCTTTGTGAAGATAGTCAGAATGCAGGAAAGGATCTCATTAGTTGACTTTGGAAAGCTCCGTGGTCACCACCCCTAATCCTCACAGCCTCTTCTTGCCCCACTTCTTCATCTACCTTCCCACCTCTCAGAGCTTTCCGCCTGGCCAAGCATCCCTCTGTGGGCCTCCTGTTCGGCCTGCTCCCATCACTGGGCCTTTGCCTATTGCCTCTAGGGCAAAAGTGCTCTCTCTACCTCTGCGCTGCTCAGCTCAGGCCTTACCCTTACAACTCCAGCCACTTCGATCCCCTCTATCTATCATCTGACACTTTTAAAACACCTGAATATACAGTGTAAGGATGCCAACTACTCAACAAATGTGCTAATCTTCCCCCAGCTTGGGCCCACAATGGGTGATGTTAATCAACAGTGGTCTCTTTTTCCCTGATCAAGGGTGTAATTCCAGAATCCTTGTGTTACCAGTCACCTCTCCTAAGATGAAGCTGGTAAAAAAAATGAAAGCTGCCCGCTTTACAGTGGTAAAGTCATTTGCTCATGTCTATTACCACAAACTCCTTAACAGCAGAGAGAATGTTCATGCTCTCCCGGCCCACTACTCAGCCTTATGCATCATATTAATCTTCATGTTGGGACACAATGCATACTTAGCTCATCAAACTCCACATTTTGTTTCTAAGGGGTGGGAATAAAGCAATAGAAAAGTAGAGATGGAGCAGGGCTGGCACAGTGAAGAGAGAAACAGATTCCACTTGAGTCTGCTCAGGAGAGACTCTAATTGCCAAATTAACAGTGCCAACCAAAGCAGGGGCCAGAGGTCTGAGTGATTCTTACTTTAATAATCTATTTTATCTATTCCTCTAGAAGCTAGATACTCATCTGCTTCCTATTTTAGATCCAGTCTGATGAATAAGATTATTAATTATGATCATATGGCATCAAGAAAATTTCATTTTAAAAGACTCCAAAGATCTTCTACATTTTAAAGAATGTTCACCAAGTTACTTTTGAAATTGTTTTCTAGCATGGATGAGAAGCAATCAAGGAAACATTCCCCAGCCTGCCCTTGTCCACTGTTTCCATCAGTCTGCTTCAATGCCACGTAAGATGTTAAAAATGGGCAGTCCATTATTATACAGACTAAAGAATAAAAGCTACCCCAGTGAAAATGGAGATTCTTTTTTGAATAGATGATTCTATCCAATGAAATACTGATTAACCACTTATTATTTGAAGTTGAAATGTTATAAGTATAAGATACACATGAATAAAACTTAAAGAAAAAGGTTATCATTTGTTTCAGGCCTCAAACACTACCCTGAATTTTAGCAAGACTTTCACACAGGACTCCTAGAAGAAGGGATGTATGGCATAATGACTTTCTGACTAGAATTATAGGTATCTTTTACAATCTAAAGCAAGTGCAATCAAGTAGGAGTTTATAGAGGGCCAAGTCTAGACCTAGGTGCTGTGGGATCAAGAGAGTCTCTGCCATTAGGAACTTCTGGCTTATCTGAGGAGATAGGACCTATGTGCTTACAATATTTAGATCTTAAGACAGCAACAAAATTTTATAGCACAATATTTGCAGACAATATTTTAGACAAAGGAAATAACTGAGGAGGCTATAAAGATATCTTTGCAGAAGACTGAGGTAGAGAACAAAGACGTGTATGTGAGCACAGGATATGTACGTGAGGAAGAGGATGAAAAGAGTGAGAGGGGCTTGGCTGAGGTCAGAGATACCAACTGAGTAAAGTGTTAGATTAGAATTGGAGGTATCAGCACAAGCTTGTGGGTTTTAATATATAAACAAACATAAAACTAGGTATAGGTATAGGTGTGTGTATAGCTACATGTAAGTTCATATGCATATGTCGTAGCTCTCTCAAATGTGGATTGAGAAGTAATGATACCCAAACAGCAATGAGCATACTGAATACTCAGAACCTGGTTTCTTTTTTTCTGAGAAAGGGTCTTGCTTCGTAGTTCAGGCTTGCCTTGAACTCACTGTGTAGCCCAGGCTGGCCTTGAACTCATAGTGATCCTCCTGCCTCAGCCTCCCAAGTACTGGGATTATAAGCATGCGCCACCACACTTGGCAAGATGTTGGTTTCTACATATCACTCTGCACCACCATATATCCTTGGAAATATGGATGATCCCAGGGCTGGGGTAGGAAAGTACAAAAGAAGCCTATGGGCTATTTGACTATGCAATAAAAGAAGGGAAATATTAAAAATACAATAAAGATGCATATAAAAAAGATGCAGAGCCAGCTTGAAGAGGCTCCCACTGGCCAAATCAGGAACAATTGGAGCACTGAAATAAATAATGAGGGATCCTGGAGAAGCAAAAGGTCATTAATGCAAAAACTGGTAAGATTCAAGAAAGGTCTAGAGGGCCAAGGATTTAGCTCAGTGGTTCCGCTGCCTACTTCACAAGCTCAAGGACCCGAGTTCGATCCCTGGTACCAAAAAAAACAAAACAACCCCCGCCCCAAAAAAAGGTCTAGAGATGAGTAAATAGTATTGTACCAATTTTAACTTGCTAGATTTGATAACTCTGCTTTGCAAGATTATAACAGTAGGAGGAGTGGGGTGAAGAGAATGTGGGAAATTTGTACTATGTTTGAAAAAATTCTATAGGTACAAATTTATTCTAGTATAAAGTAATGGGAGATAATAATTCCTATAATGAGCCATGCTGATGTAGGAAACAGGGGAGAAGTAAAAGCTATTTTCTTAAAGCAGATGCCAACTAATAAACGAGGAAGAGATGACAAGAAGAAAAATCAACATTTGGCAACCATCTGAGTAAGTTCAGATAAGACTCATCAATGAGTGGTAAAACAAGTAAGTAAAAGATGGGAAAAGACTACTGATTCAATTTCTCTAACTTGCTAATTACTTATTATTGAGAAAAAATTACTTAAATTGAGAAACTGGCAGACAACATAAAACAAAGTAATAAAAATGAACATC